TGGAGTGATTGAATGTAAATACAAAAATAAATGTCAAATTTTTTAAATTCAAAATGGCGGATTCAATATAGCGGACTTTCCTAAAACTTATTTTTAAAAATGATCAAATTTGCTAACTTCAAATTCGTAATCAGCGACCCTGAAACCCCCCGAGTAACAATTTTAGAGCGAATCCAATGAATTTTTTAATTCTCGTCCGCCATATTGGATCCGACATTTTGAATTTTGAAAAACTGTCTTCAAATTGGTAATTAGCGACCCCAAAAACACTAGAATACCAAATTTTATTAAGATCCTGAAAAACTTTTTTCAACAAACCATTTGGCAAAAAAAGTGGAACACTCATTCTTCGAGAGAACAGAGATTAAGTTTCTGCTTATTAATTACTAACGAGGATACATATAGAAAGAAAAACTTTTTTCTATGTACTTTTATAATGTTAAAATAATGGTGTAATCAAATAAAAACAATTTTGTGTGACTCTGATATAAGAAAAAATTATTGAAAATACCGTTCGGATTTATCCCGGTTTTCCAATTTTCCGGGGTAAATACGAACGGCCTGATATTATTAATAAAATTTTACAGAAGGCAAAAATCAAAAATAGTTTCTGTTCTAGTATTCATAACAAACAATTATAAATAATTAAATGAATTTTTAGCTTCTTTTTCTTCAAATACGAGACAAAATACTGAAAGAGAGTCATCTTTGATTTTCAATCTTTTTTGCAATACTCGTTATCTTTGTTTATGCTGTTGCTAATTAACAAACGAAAAATGGGATAATTCTTAGAATCTTTTGAAGAGGATCTGAGGTAAAAATTCTCATGTTTACCTTATTTTTAAAAATTTTAATTCAGCTGAAATAATTAGCGTTCGGATTTACCCCGGCTGACCCTAAATTAAAATAAATTAATTTTTTCATATATACTTGATAAGTAAAATAATAAGAAAAAATAAAAAAAGAATAATAGCAAAATAGTCCTAAACAAATATACTTCAATATTATTCGTTAAAATATTAAAATATCGTCCTATTTCTCACAAGTGGTAAAGATTCAATATGTTTAATATAAATTAAAATTAATAGGGTAATTGTGTTTGTGTGATTAATATTGTGTTACATATTGTAATTGTGCATGTGATTTCTGTATAAATATATAATGCATCTATGCATGAATTTTCAGTCATATACGTAAATATCTTTTCAATGCATGTGCATTAAAATTAATACATCATAAATTAATTTTCAATTACATGTTCTTTAAATTTTATGTATATAAATGAAAAAAAATTCCAGCATATGTGCATTTAAATTCAGTCAGATTTTTCTAACAGTGTATACCTCCAAATTTTTATTTGATAATAGTCAAGTAACTGACTATTTAAATCAAAATATATTTAATATATTTTTTTTCACTGTAATTGCCCGTATAACTAAATTAAAAATGTTAATAAATTTTCTAATATACGTTCATTGAAACAATTGTTTTCAAATGCATATTAAATCACACACACATATATATATCTAAATTTATAATTAAAGAAAAAAAAGAAAGTATTTTTATTAAATATTTTAAAGTGCAATTCAGTGTTCTAATGCCGATATCTCAAACATTTTGCCAACCTGTCACTATACATTGCTTCCTCGCGTTTTACAATTTTAGATTTATCTTGATCGTCGAGACAAATGATGTATCACCTTCGCTGTAATGAGTATTAACTTGTTGCTCAATACTATAAATTGTAATATAATAAATTCGCTATCCATAAGATTCTTATCTTATATTTATGTAATAAATGGAGATTCTTTTTTTTTTTTTGTTATATTAATGCTGCGTGTTGGCGGTAATTTGTAGGTTTCTGCGTATAAATACTATCGTAGTTTAATTATATCTTGATGGCAGTACGCATATTACAGAAGGATTCTTCTATATGTATACAGCAACTAAGGAAAATGTTGCAAAAATTTCCAATGTCAGTTTATTAGAGATAAGAAATAAAGTGTTTAAAAAAATGTTAGCTATACTTTATTTTTATTTAATTTCCAAAATATAATTGAAACACATTTCAATAGCATTGAATTGCTTAAAAAAATTACTTGAAAACTATTGTTATCTCGATTAATGAAGGGATGATTAGAACATTTTTTATTTAAATTTTTTTATTGAAGTAAATAAAATTGAATTGACTCAAATAAAAATTATTTGGTTCAAAAAAAAAAAAAAAACAATTAAAAATAATTATTTTATAATAGTCAAGTAACTATATATATTATATAAATTTACAAATTACAAAAATTTCTAGTCTTAAAATTAATTTTCTATAATGTTTAACTTTTGATTGAATTATTATAACTCAAGGAAAAATATTTCTAGCTACAAATAATTTCTACTAATAAATTGTCCAAGACGTTGACGCGAGGTTAATTAAATAAGCGATAAATCAGCAAATATTAGTTATTATTTATTGACTATTATAAAGAAACCTTAAGATTGTGTTATAGTCCATGAAACAATGTTTATAATTTTCCTGGAATTTGAATTACGTTTTATAACTGTCTTATTAATTTATAGTTGTGGAACAATATTTTTTTTTACAATTTGTTTATTTATATAATTTCATCTTTTTGTTTCGGAACATTTTTGACAGAATCATATTTAAAAAGTCGTCATTTTTGTTCTACAAAATCAGATTTTTTTTATATATTTATAATAATATACAATTAAAAAATTAATTTTTAATACAAAAAAATCATTTTTATAATAAAGATTTTCCTTTAATCGTTTGTATTTTTTTATAATATATAGACTTTGTATAATATGAAATCGATAGGAAAATTCTACGGTCAAATGGTCAAAAGGTTTTGACTTTAAGCCGATTATATACTGCTGATCAGTATACAAAACCTGTGAAACTTCTTTAGTATATATGTAAAACCTTTTGGTTCAGTTTAACAATTCTCGAGTCATAAAATTTTACAGCATCTTTCTGGACAGCACAATTTTTTTTTCTTTTTAAATTCGAATGAAAGGAATGCTTCTCTCTCTCTCCCTATATATATATATATATATATAGAAAATATTGTAGAGATAAAATGTTTAAATAAATATAAATAAAAATGTAAATTTTTATTGTTTTATATTCAAAATTTTTAGTAATTATTATAATTAGAAGTTTTGTAAGATTATTTTGTTTTATTTTGGAAATAAATATATTTAAATTCATTTATAAATTTACAGAGACATCTAGTATTTGATTAGATTATAGCCATAGCCAACAGTACTCTTTAAGAAGGTAACAAAATCTTTTACCGTTTACCTGTTGAATTCAATCTTCAGGTAAGTGGCCTGGAGGTAAAACAGTTTCAAAGAATACAAAATTGGCTCCATCTCATGGAATATGAAGTAAATTTTTACATTTTTTTTTTTTGTTAAACAATAATTGATGAAAGTAAAAATTTTAATGAAAAATTATTTCCAAGAATGTTAATTTTACTTTTTACAATTTTTTTCCCGATAAAAATTGTACAAAAATTTGCATTTTTCAAAAATAATAGTTGTGAGAAAATTTCAGGAATATTTTTCCTTTTTACACAAACATATCTATATTTCAAATACACCACTCTGTAAATTTGAATTAGTAGAAAAATTTTCACTAATTTTTAGTAAAATATTACTATTTCAGTTAGAAATTTTTTTTTACTAAAGTTTCAATGAAAAATGACTAAAAGTTAGTAGAAATTTTCACTAATTTAAATTAATAAACATTCACTAATTCAAATTTAGACAGGAAACAAATATTTTGAAATTAAAAAAAAATTCTGCTGTTAAATTTAATTTACATTTTTTCTGATGAGAATACTTTTTTTAAAAAAAAAAAACAAGTATTCGTTAATTCGAGAATTGATTAATTTTAACGAATTATGTATTTAACAATTTTCCTTTTTAATTACAGATATTCCTTTACTTTTAAGACTATTTTTCTATAAATGAGATCCTAAAGAATTTTATATTGCAATATTATGAATTCAATTCATGTAAGAATTCTAAATCGAAAAAAGTGGGTCGCACTTTCGAGAAATTTTAAAAATTCCATGTCAGTTTTTTAAATTTTTATTACAATTGAAATGATTTTTAAAAAATAGTTTCCTGAGTCAAAATGTTTAAAAATTTGTATAGAATTTTTGATTATTACAAAAATGTGAAAAAATTTACTTTACTGGTTTATATATTTATTTTTTCAATGCATAAATATAAAATCAATAAAGAATTTATTTAATTCTATTATTAATATATATAAAACCGGAATTCAATTTAGTTTCACTCGATAACCCCCAAGTTTAAAAATTTATAACTTATAGTGCACAATGTAAATACTATTAGCCATAAATCGTGAATTTAAATAATTTACGTAGCGTTTCTTCATGGATTTGTGCACAAATTTCGTAACGTATTTTATAATAAAATATTATTCAATTTTCACATTGATATTCTTAAATCATTTTTAATGTGTGATTTTATTTGTACTTTTATTGAAATTTAACTTTTTTTTTTACTATTTTTTTATTTAATTACTCACAAGCGCATATTTTCACAGTTAGGCAAATGTTTTGACAGAATTAAAATTAAAAGTTTAAAATAAATTAAATGAAAAAAAAACCAATGAAAATAATTGAGAAAATATGATGAGAAATTGTAATTAATTTGATAATCGTTTTATAAAAATTTCAAAATCATTTGAAAAAATAAAATGCAGTTTTTATTAAAAAAAATTGTTTTATTCAATTGTTAAGTGTAACTACATACACCCATAGAGAAATTTGTTTCTGAGTTTAGTAATTTTATTTATTTCGAATAAATTTTATTCAATTCAAATAAATTTTATGTAATTTAAATAAATTATATATATATATGATTTATGATTGCATAAACTAAATCTTTATCATTACTAATTGATGAATATTGAATAACAAAGGTCAATATATTATACAATTGATAAATACATTTTACACATATTATATTATATATATATATACAATATTCAAATGTCTTTTTTTATTTTTATACAAATAGACAGTAAAGACAATAAATAATGTTCGATAAATAAATTAACGCGTTTTAAGTAGTAGATTCTGACTGTTTTCATAAAAACAAATACCAATCATGTTTTTATTTTTTTCTTCACGATCTTCATCTCCTAGAAAAATCTCCATAAGATTCATTAGAAAATTATTGTATTCTCGATGTGTTTCTTTTTCTTCTAAATGTCAAATCATCGATAAGTCGAAGCCTATATAATCCATCAGAAACCAATTTTTAAAAATGTCTGATGTTGATGTGATCTCGAATAATTCTAAAAAAGATTGAAGAAGATCTAATCTTATGTGTAGCTCGACGAACTGGATGAACTTCCAGATGACAATGATGATGATGACGAGGGTGAGCCATACGAACTGGAAGAACTACTTCCCGATGAGTAGTAATTGTAGGCCAAATTTTGAGCATCAGCTGCATTGCTAGGTGTCCAAACTCTTGAATATGGTCCATTTCCATCCCAAGTGTTAACTGGCTCATAACCAGAAGTTGATGAAGGCAAAGGTGGAGTTCCATAAACTGGAGCTGGATCCATTGTCATTCCTAAAAAAAAAAAAGAATTCAATTTTTGTATTCATCATTATTTCCATTGATGGAATAATTTTTAAATGAAATGATTACGTTATTCAAGTCTAATTAAATCAACGAAAGTTGATACTTACCCATTGGTGGAGTCATGCCACCTTTTTTAAAGAATTGAACAGCGATAAATACAACGACAGCTAAAAATGCCAATTTCGAAAGTACCAATGCTTTCATTGCCTTAATTCCAATAATGGCAACAAAAATTGGCATCAACGCTTTTAATTTCAATTTCAAAAGAAGTAAAAATGGCAGCAGCAATTTCTTCTTTAAAAGACCACGCGCCTGATTGGTGGCAACTTCATTGTCCTTAAATTCAATATCAAGATCAGCAAGACTTTTACTGGGTCGATATTTTAAATTGGCGTCAATAAATGGTAAATTAATTCCATAATCATATGTCTTGAGATATTTGAAGGTTCGTGCAACAATAGCTTCATCAATTGAATTTAAAGATCTTGCTTCTGTGGTTGTTCCTAATTGATTATCCAAATAACCAAGAAATTCGTGTTTGAAACATGATGACCATGATTCTTCAGTATTGATGCAATTATTTAAGGAACTTGTGAGAAAATCTTGTGATGCTAAAGACACGGTCACTAAGGCCAAAAGGCCTGTCACTAAGAAAATGCGCATTTTAAAAAAATATATCCTTTTATGAAATTTATGTTCCAAGGTCACGGATTTTGATTTTTTTTTCTTTTTGAAAACACTATAAATGCAGGAACCTAAAACTTTTTTTTTTTTTTTTTTGAATGAATGATACACAATCGGCGATCGAACTGCGACTGACAGAGGAGTGGCCCGCCCCTTTTATTTAATTTGCCCCCCGCGAATCTATGTTATTCGGTCGCGCATGATGTGAATCAGCGATTGAAGGAAAATCATATTTAAATTTTACTCGTGAAGTTCGAGCCGGGTGCGAGGAGTATATCCCAATCATTGTTCGGCATGGCGCATTTTGTACACCATGGCATGCATACGGGAAACGGAACTTGTTCATGACGGTATCTGCTTTAAACGTCATGTATATATGTATATATACTATATAGTTTTGTATGTATGCTAATTAAATTTATATTGAGCCTGAGACATTTAGTTGTAATATATAACTTTCGGATTCTTTTCATTTTCTCACTTATATTTTCGAAAGCAGTAGGTATTATAAATATTGAAGGTGTTAATTATTTAAACTAATTTTATTTATTGGAATTTTTTTTATTTTCTTTGCGATGACACTCATTGACAATGGAGTGATTTTAAGTTGTTTTAATTAAGATAGTATGTTATTTAATTTATGAATTAAAACTATCCGTTAGTGAAACTACTATCAACAACTAAAGCTGTAAACAAATTATTATGTTCACGATTGGAAGTACAATTATTAAAATTACCATTGATTAAGAAATTGTCAATTCTTGGAAAATTTGGATGATTGAAACTGTTAATGATTGAAGCTGTCAATACACCGTCCGTCACGATTTTTGATCCACAAAAAAATCAAACATTTTTGGAAAGTAGGACCAAAAAAAAGTACCCGTGTCTAGCTGTTTTGCTAGATCAAGTCGTTTGTGGTTTTTAGGGCTGAAAATATCCCCTAAATAAAAAGTGACAAGATATCTTTTAAGAATTATTAATATTTTTTTAAACTTGATATCTGAGTTCAAATCAATTCAAAATGGTGGATCCAATATGACGGTCAAAAATTTAAAAAGTTATTAATTTTTTATTTTATATCCGCCATTTTGAATTTTAAAAATTTGACATCAGATTCGTCATTAGCGACCCCATAAACCCCTAGATATACCAAGTTTTATAAAAAAATAATAACTTTTTAAAATTTTGACCGCCATATTAAATTCGACATTTTGAATTTTGAAAATCTGACATCAGCTTCATAATCAGAGATCCCGAAAACTCTCAGATACCAAGTTTTATAAAATATTAATAATTTTTAAAAGATACCTTTCACTTTTCATTTAGGGGTTGTTCTCACCCCTAAAAACGACAAACGACTTGATCTAGCAAAACGGCCCGACACGAGCATTTTTTTTGGTCCTAGTTTCCGAAAATTTTTGATTTTTTTGTAGGTAAAGAAAAAGTTGAATTTTGTCAGTTGGTGATTTAATAGAACCTTTGTAAAAACACTAAAAACAATTAAAACTCACGATGATTGGCTGAAGACATAAATTATTGAAACATTGATGATTAAAGTATTTAACAATTGAAGCTTATTTAATGATTAAAATTACATTTGATGAAACTGTCATTAATTGAAGTTTTATAAGAATGGTTAAAAATAATTGACTTACTGAATACATCAATCATTAAAACAAATATTTGATGTTTAAAACTTCAATAATAATAAGGTTAAAAATTATGACAAATACTCTAATAATTGAAGCTAAAAATCACTAAAAATTTGAACAGTTGAAACTTGTATTAATTGAAGCTGTCAATCATCTAAAATATCATTAATTTGCAGTTGTAAACTCTTGAAAATTTAGATAATTGAAAATTTTATTGATTAAAACTATCAGCAATTAAATCTACTATTCAATTGAAATTATCGATAATTAATAATTTGGATTGATAAAACTTTTAATAATTGAAGATAACGATTGTTAAAATTATTATTGAGGAAAGTTGTCAGTTATCAAAACAATGAAAATAATCAATGATTAAAACTATAATTTATTGAAGCTAATAATTATTAAAAATATTTATATTTAAAAACATGAACAATTAAAGGATTATTATAATTAGTAGTAATACTAAGAATGATTAAAAATATTTTTATAATTGAAGCTAACAACCACTAAAAATTTGGATTGTTAAAGATTTAATAATTGAAGATATATACAAATGTCATCGAAGATATAAATTGATTTAATTTATACCCAAGTAGAAATGTGCCACTGGCATAGTACTGACCCAACACTGCCAGTCAGTATAATAGTACTGACTGCCGTACTGGGCCAGTAGTGGACCAACCCTGGCTGGTAACGCTGTCCAGTACTGATTTTGTCCCGCTCACCAGTACTAACGTAGTACTAGAATAATACTGGCAAAGTACTCATCCGGACTTAAAATCTCACTTTTTTACAAAATGCTAAAACACGCTTTTCAATGCAAATTTCATCCTTATTAGCTTATTACTCCCATTTTTACCACGAACAGGTAATGTGAAGCCAATAATAGTTAATGTTATTTAGAATATATAAAATATTATTAACAATAAATAATTAAAATAATAATTATCATTTATATTAATTAAATTATTTTATTTTTAATAAATTATTTTACAAAAAATAATTTGTGTTGTAAATTTTTTTATTTTTTTAAATTCATAATATTTAATTTTTTTTACTTTGCACTTATACTTAATTTAATAATTATTTAATAATTGATATTACACATGAACAAATATTGTACTTATAACACTTAAAACTAAGAACGAAAAATCTCGCACGCATGGGGGATCGAACCCTAAACCCTTAGAACGCAAGTCAGATACGCATACCGCACAGCCGCGCTGGCTTGAAGTGCTGACTTGAAGTAGTTCACCTAATACAAAAGTTTTGATTTCAAAGTTTGTATTATCTATTGATCACGAAAATAAAATGAATTTATTCTTAAATTTTTTAAACTCACAAAATTTTTTCAATTTTTACAAAGATTTAATGAAATAAAACTGGATATCAATTTCAGTTAAATATTTTTAATAAATTATTTTTACCGTAAATAATATTAAAACAGGGTACAAGGAAGAAAAAGAATATTGATTTTCAATGACAAGGTTACAAGTTTATTTATACAAATATTTAGAGTTATAAAATTGATCTTTGCAAGAGAGTATCCTGAAGCAACCATTCTTGAAATAAGGAAGTCAGCATTTCACTGTAACAAGGAATGTTAAGGTTACTACAAAGTTTTATAAGAAGTTATGAAGGATTTGGATAAAAAGTATTACGACTTACTTTGAAAATTTAGATGTAAGATGTATGAAAAAGGAACACTGCTGTGTCCTAGTTATAATAGGAACGTCTCTGGTATCAGATATCATCTAAAATCTCACAGGAAGGTTGACCGGCCTTGGTAATGACCACAAGTTCGGAGTTCAGTTGACCGTGATGAAAACCCAAATAATTAAATTCTTGAAGAAAAGGAAGAAAAGATGATTTCTAAATATTATAGGAAAGTCAAAGCCTTGAATAGTTGGATGAGTTCTTCTTGACGTAGAAACTTTTAATACTTGACACACACTGAAAGAAAATTCATACTACTAAGTATTAAACTCATATTAGAGTTTAATATAAATGTTACAATTTAGGGAAAAAGTGCACCTATACTGATTACTATTACAGTTTTTATGAAAATATATAATGAATTTAAGAGTAACTATTATTTTAAGAAATAAAAATTAGTATATTTATTTTAAAAATTAGTATTTTCTTTATGAATTCACAGAATACGAAATATTATAATAAATAATTTCACAAAATAGTAAGAAAAATAACATATATCCGTATACTTATTTCACATTTTGTAAAACTTTATATTAAAAGTCACGGATTTTCCCGAGAGACTACGAATTTAACCGAAGTTCTGTCTGTTTGCGGCTTCGTGTCCTACTCGAACTTCTACGACTTGATCCGATTTTCGAAAGTGTTGTTAACCAGCAGAACGTACCTATCAACTGTCAACACACGTGTTTCAAATGTTTATAGTGCCACAGAAAACATTTATAATTATTAAATTTATTATTATTTTTATTAATTATTATTTTTTGATGTCATCTTTACAATTATTTGATTTTTATTTGCAATAAAAATTTTTATAACAATCATAATTTTTAATCTGAAAAAAAAAGAAAAATCTATATAAACAATTAATAATAAAAATGAACCCAGCGTAACCTCTATAAAATTACACCATTGGCACTAGTAAACTATTTTTTATTATTAAGTTATTATAAGTAAACTTCTTTCTCGCAAGTGGTAAAAATATTCAGTAGTTAGTATATAAGAAAACGATATATGCCGACCCCCAGCGAAATTTATCGTTATGCGTATAGAATTGTAAGTGTAGGTTTCGTTGCGATCGTGTAATGTCTATGTATAAGCGAAATGAACGTGCGTGTTCATTAGTATGTGTGTTAACCTGTATCGTAAGTGTGAATGTGTTGTTCCTAGTCTCACTCCTCTTCCTCCCGAGAATTAACGGAAACGTCCGAGTTTCCACTTTTTTTCCCTTTTCTTCCGACATTCTGAATTTTTCGTATAAAGTTTTACAAATATTAGAACGCTACATTCCATATAATGCAACAACTCTATGAGAATTTAATATAATATTTTCAAATATTGGTAATCTTTTTACGTTCTTTCTACAATAATTATTAATATTTGAAAAAAGATTTTAAGTTGGAACTTTAATATAAAGTATATTGAATTTTAATAAAAAGTACACTTTTCCCTAAATTCTAAAAGAATATATTAAAATGTAATACGCATTTTGTTATTTTTTCCTATGAAATTTCTTTCAGTGCAGAGATTATTCTAAGTTCAACTTGAATATAAAATTGAGCAGAGTACTTCTGCAAGATTCTAAACTGGATGTAGCGGGTTCGGTGATGAATCTGAACTGAACTAGTGGGTTCGGTGGCAATTTCTGAACTGACTTTTCAGGCAAATATGGTCCTTTTTATACAAGATTTTCACAAAGAGCGCGCACGAATTTTCATATGAGGGTTGCATCTTTCACCCTTTTTAATGAGTAAGAAGCCAATTAAATGTTATGGATGAGGGTGACTCCCCTTTACATTCCATAGGTTTGTGATAATACAAGGTATTTTCTCTCAATAAAACAGGACATTAAAATAATCCTACAAACTTTATATTTTCGGGATTCGAAGAAAAACCGATGTTAATATGAGATTATACATTTTGATTATCGAAAATTACAGAGGGTTAGATTTATGATTTTATTACCCATTTCCTATACACTTGTTGGGCTGCTCAAAGGGGTATGAAACATTTAATGAGAAATCTACGTGATTTTCCAATTCATTAAATAATATTGAAATACTTAGTCAGACTACTGTTGCGACTATTGTATTGATTTTATATAGAAAAGTTAAATCAAGTAAGGGCCTTTGTTACAAAAATGCAGCTGCAATGTTAATATGTTACGATGATGTGACACTTCATTGAAATTAATACCTATTATAATCATTAAAATTATCAAATGGCCGAAACTATTTATGAATATGATTTAAATTTAAACAACCATTTTTTTGTTCATGATACTTTGTTTACATTGGTAGTAAAAATATAAATGGTATTATGAAAAAAAAGTAAAAAAAGTCAATAAAAACGAAACCACAATTGGATAAACCACAAATAGTCGTACTTCTGCGTCATTGAAATTACTTTCGTCCATCCTCTTTTTATATGCAACACCGTGTTAGATTCGGTGAAAGTATATGTAGATTGAAATTCAACATTTTTTTTTATTATATCCACTTGCCATTCAAACCCGACCATTTGATTTTAAATTAAAATTTCATTGTTCAAAAATAAGGGTAAACGTGGAAAAATCTTTTGTATGTTCACTGAATAAAAAGAGCGTCAGAGAGAATAAAAACAAAAATTGTTTACGAAACAAATAAAAAAGCCATGACAAAAAATAATGCTTGTTTCGCAGTTAAATAAATTAAAATTTTTTTTTTAATCTGTTCCAAAAGGATTATTATTAATAAAAATAGAAAAAATGAAAAATATTTAAATGGTCCAATTTTTATTTCTGATTAGAATTAATTTGTATTTTAGTTCAATAAATCAATTAAATCTCAATGCATATATATTCTGGGGATGTATAAAAAAACGAAGTTTAATCTTCCAAATTTATAAAGTGAATTTTAGTGTAGAAAATTTAAATAAGGATCAAATTTTATGATGTTATTTTATTTTTCAGTAAATATTAATATTTATACAACATTTTTCTTTTGAGAGGGTCAAACCTTTTTAATAATTTTTTTTTTACAATTGCATATGTACATAAAAGTTTACTATAGAAAAAATTAAAGTTCCAGGAGGAAAAATTATTTGTAGGTAATTTTTTAATAATTAAAAATAAAAAATGAATAAAAATTTTAATAGTTAAAATTATTCAAGTAGAAATATTTCCAAGAAATTTATTGATATTAAACAGATTTACTTTTTAATTATTTTTTATTTAAAAAAAATATTTTAATTTATTTGAATTATTTTTTAATTTACAAACTTCATGTTTATTATCAAATGTCAAATTATGTATTAATTTGCATGTTTTTTTTTATCTTTATAATTGAATTTAAAAAATTTTCTTTTTTAATTAATTTTTCGTTTACGCGAAGAATAAATGAGACAATTATTTTTCGAAGAAAAAATAAAGAAAAATTCATAAATAATTTAGTTTATTATAAAATTCGTCTTGTAAACATATATAGATTTCATTTTCATCATAATGTCTAATTTTTGGTAACAAAATCTTTTCCATTATATACTTATCAGTCCGTCGTCTATAAAAATTATATGTTTCGTCTCTTGTAAATTCTGTCACAATTTAAGAATTTTTTTTTTCTTTTTTTCTAATTTATTAAAGAAAAATCGTGAAAAACTCGTATATAGAAACTAGAGACTAGTTGAGTTACGACAATAATAATAATTTATTAAATACAGTCATACACACAGAAAAGAAGCTATTTTACAAAAGTTTAAGTTATCTAAAAAAAAAAACAAATGCATATATAGTCTTATTCTTTTGCATAACCTGAATAAGCCATATTGTGAGAAAATTCTGACGTAGACATTGGTAAGGAATCATCATCTTTGAATCCTCTATATTGTGCAGCTTGATACTCCCATGGTCCATGTGCAGCAAGTGGTGCTGAATGACTGTCGGCGGCAATTTTTTTACAAAGTTGGAATATCGCCAATCCTACTGACACGACGAAGCTAAAAAATGACAATTGAAGAGCATTCCATGCCTTCAATCCAAGTACTCCAATTGCCAGGGGAATCAATGTCATGGCCTTGAGCAAAACAAACACGAGAATTGGAATGATGACCTTTTTCAATTTGGATTTACGTGCTTCTTCAATTGCACGTCCCTGGCCAAATTTCAAATTGAAACTAAGTTCATCGTCGTCAATATTCCTTGAGCTGACTTTAACTGATGATTCAAGAGGAAGTTTGAACGTCACATCGTGAGAGATCAGATAAGTCCTCAAGTTCTCAAGAAATGAGGGTTCACTGCGCGCAGACAACTCTTCAACTGGATTTGAGTTACGAGTGACTTCCACTGTTTCCGATATCTGCCAAATGACATATATTAATAATTACTAATTATTTACAGTATAATTATTAATACAAATAATAATAATAAAAAGTGAATTTTTAACTTCTCATTAATTTGTATTATTTCTTTTTTAATTAAAACTTAAAATCGTACACGAAGAAAAGAGTTTCAGTATATTCTACTAAACAGCGTATGTCAGAAACTATAATTCTGTCACAAAAAGAATTTATCGACAGAAACAAAATACACAAATCTGATTGGTTGTCCACAATTGAGCAGATTGTGAACAACCAATTTAGTCAGTTCAAAATGGACTAATAAATGAAAAGAAATACCTTTTCATTTAATTGTAAATTTCTCAACAGATTAGAGAAGATTATAATATAAAATAAAATTTATGACGAATGAAGAAATATTAAATTTAAATAATTTTTGACAAATTACCTTGAAACTGTCTTTGCGGAAGATTTGATCGAGAAGACTGAGAACTTTGAACTTCATACAGGCGATTTCGTCGTTTTTTTGTGCACAATCGGCTTTCGTTTGATCAACAATCGAATCCATACTGGTGCCCTTCCAAAATTCATTATTTTTCGTTGGCTGGGCTACCACCAGCACAATAATGGAGCACAACACAATAATTAGTCTCATAATGCTGGATATGCTTTAAGAAACAGACAAAAAAAATCAGATTTACAACCCTGAGAAAATACTATAGTGATCTCGTGTTTGAATAAAAGACAATATATTGTCAAGGACAAACGACAGTTCAGCGACTAATGCCAATATGGGTTGGGCAAGTGCTTATTTATACAAGGCCTATTGTTGAATAAAATTACCCTCGCCAAACATTTACTTATACCCCCCCTCCATTAATACTGAACGAATTTTCTTTTCGTTCAGTATGGTCTTCGATTATTATTGAGGCCTCACCGTGAACATGTCGCGACTTCTTAATGAGAGACAAAGAGAGAAAGAAAGAGAGCAATATAGGGTTGACAGAACTGATGAACTGTCTCGCCGGTGCTTTAATGCGATAAAAAAGCAAATCAGAAACACTCGTTTATTTTCAGGTGAAAAAAATATTTAAAAATGAAAATTGACAAATTTTATATAAATCATAGTGCAAATTTTGTGTTTTTTAAAACGAGAAAAAAAACGACTATTATTGATGTTAACCCCTTTACAGTTAGAGAAAAAATTGATACTGTTGTCCCAAATTGAACAACAAATTTTGGTCAATAAATTTTTATGAAACTTAGAATATAAGGGTTTTTAGGGTCGCTGAATTCAAATATGACCTCAAAAATAAAATTTAAAATGTCAGACATATTTTTTTTAATTTATGCAAAAATCAATAAAAATTAGTATAACGGGATATTTTAAACCCTCAAAAACCCCTTTATACCAAGTTTCATTAAAATCCGTTAAAATTTTAAAAATTATGTCCGCCATTTTAGATCCGCTATTTAAAATTTTTTAATTTAATCCTTTCCGTGTATAAGGGTTTTCAAGGTCGCTAAATTCGAGTATGATATTAGATTTTCAAAATTCAAAATGGCGGGTCCAATATGGAGGACGACTTTTTTAAAAATTGAATCCAAAAGGCCTGAAACTTGTTACTCGGGGGTTTTCGGAGTCGCTGATTACGAATCTCAGTTTAGTTTTTCAAAATGGCGGATCCAATATGGCGGACGACTTTTTTAAAAATTGAATCCAAATGGCTTGAAACTTGTTACTCGTTTTTTATTTCTTGGATTTTTGTTTACTTTTTATATTTTTGATTTTTAAATTTTGATATTAGATTTGAATTCAGCGACCCTAAAAACCCCCGAGTAACAAATTTCAAGCAAATTCGGTTGATTTTTAATTTTTTTTGTCCGCCATCTTGGATCCGCCATTTTGAATTTTTTTTTAATGTCAGATTTGAATTCAGCGACCTCATAAACCCTTATATATTAAGTTTCATAAAAATCTGTCGACCAGAATTTACTAGACATTTTGAAACCAAATCATGTATTTTTTCTCAAACACGGAAAGGGTTAAATGTTAAACTTGAATTTTCAATGTACAATTCCATACTTATAGGAAATAGTAATTACTTTTTAAATTTAGAAATAATAATAATAATAATAATAAATAATTTGAAATACCTATACAATTTTAAAATCAAATTTAAATTTATAAAATTTTTAAATTTAAAATCAAATAAATAATATTTATTTAGAGTTGAGAAAGTAAATACCTATTTTTGACGCGCTGAAGAAAGGGAGCTAAAAAGCAAACGAATTGAAGGGCTGATAGCATAAGTGGGTTATAATTTGAATGAGAGCAAAAGTATATTAAAACCTTACGAGTAAAAACGGTTAATATATTTAATAATAAAGATATTTATACTTTTTTGTAATAAAATTTTAGGTTTAGAATATTTATTTAAATAATAATAATTGTTAATGAAAATTATTTATCATCCATTTTAGGTATTTTCACTTAAAAATTTCAGAACATAATCTATAATTTTTTGTTTCTTAGATCTTTTTCCTCTGAGTGCGTCACATTTATTCATTTCAAATAAATTTTATTTCTTTTAATTATAAATTAATAATAAGTTATTAAAATTTACATACAGTTTTCTATTTGATTTTTCTAAAATTTTCTAAATGAAATTAATTTGAGGGTAAAAGTGAGAGTACAGTTTTAGAAATTATTAATATAAGCACATACTTCCGACTTCCGCACTGTATATCAATCCGGAATTTGTTGATCTACATTTTTGACCTCTCTTCTATCACATAATGGAATAAATAATTTTTATATCAATGAAATCACTGATCATTATTACCAACAGTAATTCATAGAAAAAGTCATTGCGGATGAAAAAATATACTGTCAACCAGATTTGTTAATTTTTTTTTTTAGTTTAATTAACATTCATTTTTCAACATTTTTTCGAAATTTAAAAAATAAATAAAAATTTATTCGAAAATTTTTTCGAAATTGTCATTTAAAATTTTCAAATATTAATAAAAGATTTGAATTTAGCAACCTCAAAAGTGTACAGACTGGTATAATATCAATTAGTAATTATATTATTTAATAGATCTAATTAATAACTTGAATTTAAAACAAAATCGATTTAACAAAACAATTTGTTTAGCTCAACTAATTGTAAACGAATTTATTACATCAAATAAAAATTTCTTTTTCTTTCTCAGTGTTCTTGTCAGATTCTCTCTTAAAAAAATCTTTTATTAAATTAAATTGTTTAATAAATATATAAAACATAAATTATTAAATAAAATTTTAATTAAAAATCAAAAAAATATAAAATCATAAAAATTAATTTGATGCATTTTACAAAATGAGTTCAGAAATCAATAAAATTAGTTTTAAATTGTTGTTTATCCAATTGAACTTCACATCTGACATTGGCATTGTTCGACAATCGATATAATTCAAGTCATGCGACAACTACTACTTTCCAAATGCATGACTTTCGTCTCGTTTAGTTCATTAGGCCATGCGTTTTATTTTTGGGTTAATTTCACCCTTAAACCTAAATTTAATGACACCATCTGAAATTTCACTAAAAAGAATCGAAGCCCCCTTAATTATGTATGCAAGCACCGTATTTGGCGTGAAGAAATTCGTTTTAACTTCCTTTTATACAATCATTATGAGTGGACTGCAAGTGTTTTTGAAACAATGCCTCGTAAGTAATTGGAATAAGAGGTCGATTTTTGCATAAGCATTTAGATCACGCCTAGCTTAGAATTTACGATCTTCGAGATATATCATCAAAAAAACTCGATCAATAAGAAAGAAAAAAATGCATTTCATTTTTTCGATTTCATTTTGCATTTTTTCCCTTTGAAACAAACAAAATTATGTAATTTCCGTTTTAATATATAAATTCCATTAAAATTGACATAATAACAGGTTTTTATTGTTTACTTAATATTCTACTTGGATATTTCACTATTGATTTTATTCGTTATTACTAAATATTTTTTCTTATTAAACTTCTATATTTCTTTTTTCTCAAACCTTTTAAAAATCTATCTGGAAAGTTAAATAAATTTCTATTTGTTTTTTTTTTTTTTTTTTAATTTTTTTTTCTATTTATTTTTCATTATCTACTTTAAAATTGTATCAATATTATTTTTTAAAAACTTATTTTTCTTTTTATATTGAATAAAAAGATTAATTTGTCTCTAAAAAAAATTCTCGTTTTTGAAAATTTTGCGAACATTTAAAATGTGGGAATTGATAAACAACACTTTTTTGGTTTCCTTAGGAAATATAGTTGAAACTTTATTTTGTACATAATAAATAAAAAAAATATCAAAATCAATTTGATATAAATAAATAATTAATTAAATACTAGACTATTTTCGATAGGCTCTGTATGGTCCTTGTGGTGATGTATCCCAATGTGGTGGATGTTCAACAGGTGGATGACCGTAGTGGACCACTTCGTAGGCAACTTTTGGTTTCGTCAATTTAAAAATGAGTAAAGCACCACTTAAAACTAATGAAAGAAGTCCAAGTGTGAGGGCTTTCCAAGTTTTTAATGCGATTAATGCCAATGCCAATGGTACCAATGCAGTGGCCTTGAACTTGAGACCTAAAAGGAACGGAATCATGACCTTCTTGACGAAACCTCGACCTGTTCAAAACATAATTAACAAGATCAATTGTTTTCCCAACCAAATTCTAAATTGCTATTCAAATTAATTAGCCATCAAATTAATTAATTGATTACATAATAATTTATCAATTAATTATATAACTTACTAATTAATTTATTGACTTATTAATTGGATCTCGAATTGGCTAATTAATTATCTATTTAATGAAATAGTAATTATTTAATTAATAATTATTTTTTAATTAGATAATTAATTATCAAAATTACATTATAAAAAATTAATTATTAGATAATTATTATTAATTAATAAATTACAATTTATTGAAAATCCATAAATCCTTAACATTAACTAAAAAATTCTCTATGTGTAATAAAAAAAATTTGTTAATTAACTAACCTTGATTATTGTCTTGATCACAGAGAGGAACACTGACTTCCCTTGGGACGGAATCTACAAGAGTTCTAGGAACAATATTCGAACCGACAATAGCTTCAGGTAATTTAGCTTCAATTCTATGACTTGCGAGGTATGAGTCCAACTTTTCCAACATCAGAGATCGAAGAAGATCCTTCCTGGTAGGATCAACGGAATCCTGAGAAATGTAATATTCTTCGAAATTATTGTTATCGATGTCTGGCATGGATCTCACAATTGACAAATCTTCCGTAATGGCGACTTTGTCTTCCTTCATCACTCTACTCAAATATGCAAGGACCTTTGGTTTCGCACATGATAATATCGAGTCACTGTCCACGCATCTGCACAAATTATTTATGTAAATTTTTTTAATATAATGTCTCAGTTTATTTCTTCAATTATTTCAATACTTGGTTTTGTCATTTTTTCATTGATTTAAAAAAATTGTTATTAATTTGTTTATTTAATTAATAAGCAGAACTTTAATTTACTAAATGAAATAATTTTTTTTCGATTTAATTAATAAAATTTTAATTGCAGTTAAAAAGATTTAAATAAGAATTTTTAATTTGAATTATAAAAATCGGTAAACAAACTCACCTGTGGTAAATGTTTTGAAGAACCTCGGCAGTGGTTTCGGGTTCTTTGGCATTGGCCAAAGTGACCAAAAGGGTCAGAGAAGCAATTAGCAGAACCCTCATGGTTTGAGACCACCGATCAATCGATTTGCAAAGTTAAACGCCGAATGCTCCCTCGTACACTGACGATCCGGTTATATACAAAATGGGAGCTCGAGACGTTTGATGAATTTTTATGAAGAACGTGATACCAAACGGAAAGGAAAGAAGAAAGCTCTTCTATAATATGTAGAATGACAAAGTTTCTTTGACAGCTACTTAGCTCGTATCGGAAGAAACAGATTAATTATAAACAGAATAAAAAGGTCAATATAAAATAATTTGCCATTATTTATACAAATTTGAAAATATAAATTTTCAAAAAAAAAAAAAAAAAAAAAAGAAACACAATATTGCAGAAAGAAAGCAGTGATACGATATAGGTAAGGCAAAAAAGTTTTGTAAAACAGGAAGTTTCTTTCTTTGTAATTTCACTTTTTGTTCTCGTATTTAAAAGAAAAACACAGTTGTGCGCAAACAAAGAAAATCGAAAATAATTTTTTTTTAATTAATTTTTTATTCTTTGAGGTATGTATATAATTTTTTAAACATGTAATCCATTATATAGTAATAACATGTTAAAGACAATCACAAAAGATTTCCTACCAAAAAAGTCTAAATATTGAAGAAATACTATAGTTATACTCGGGGCGAAATTCCTGAAGTGATCTTATAGCCAAAAGTGCACTGTTAGGTAATATTTGACCAAAATTTTAATCCTCTCTCTGTTCTCTACAGTTTTTAATAAAAATTAATAATAATTTATGGGTGAAGCACTTACCCATAGTACTAAATGTTATGCAAATTGCAGCACGATCTAAAATAAATTTTTTTTTGATTTGTATCACTTCAGAAATTTTGTCTCACCCATAAACGCTAAGTATTGATTCATAATATTGTATTTTTGTTTTTATATCCCGCGTGAAAAACGAACTATGGGAAAAAGCTATCAAAAGCTGGCAAAAGATGGGAGAAGATTTTCGCCATTGTTTTTAAGTTTTATCCCATACTTTAAAGAATTGTAAAAAGCTCACAAACCATTGCTTATAAGCCTTTCCCATACTTTTTTTTAATATCATATAACATTGCTAAAATCTTGCCAAAGTATTGCAAAAATATGGGAATAAAATAAAGTCAATTTTTTCTAACTTACTTCTTATTTTTCTCATTTTTTTTCTGAAAATCATTGCAAAACAATGGGAAAAAGATTAAGAAAGAAAAAATTTATTTTTCTCATTTTTTCATCTTTAAAAATTAGATTTTTAAAGTATTGCTAAAACCTGGCAAAAATATACGAACAAAATTAATCAATTTTTCTCGTTATTTTAGCTTTAAAAATCTGATTTTTGAAGTATTGCAAAAATATGGGAATAAGATTTTGAAAGAAAAAATCAATTTTCCTCTATTTTTCAACTTTGAAAATTTGATTTTTAAAGTATTGCAAAAATATGGGAAAAAGATTTTGAAAGAAAAAATAAATTTCCTCTAATTTTTAACTTTAAAAATTTGATTTTTAAAGTATTGCAAAAATATGGGAAAAAGATTGGAAAGAAAAAATCAATTTTCCTATAATTTACAATTTTAAAAATTTGATTTTTAAAGTATTTTCCTCTATTTTTCAATTTTAAAAATTTAAGTTTTAAAGTATTGCAAAAATATGGGAAAAAGATTTTGAAAGAAAAAATCAATTTTCCTCTATTTTTCAACTTTGAAAATTTGATTTTTAAAGTATTGCAAAAATATGGGAAAAAGATTTTGAAAGGAAAAATCAATTTTCCCATATTTTTGCAATACTTTAAAACTCAAATTTTTAAAATTAAAAAATAGAGGAAAATACTTTAAAAATCAAATTTTTAAAATTGAAAATTAGAGGAAAATTGATTTTTCCTTTCAAAATCTTTTTCCCATATTTTTGCAATACTTTAAAAATCCAATTTTTAAAGTTGAAAAATAGAGGAAAATTGATTTTTCCTTTCAAAATCTTTTTCCCATATTTTTGCAATACTTTAAAAATCAAATTTTTAAAGTTGAAAAATAGAGGAAAATTGATTTTTTCTTTCAAAATCTTTTTCCCATATTTTTGCAATACTTTAAAAATCAAATTTTCAAAGTTGAAAAATAGAGGAAAATTGATTTTTTCTTTCAAAATCTTATTCCCATATTTTTGCAATACTTTGGCAAGATTTTAGCAATGTTATATGATATTAAAAAAAAGTATGGGAAAGGCTTATAAGCAATGGTTTGTGAGCTTTTTGCAATTCTTTAAAGTATGGGATAAAACTTAAAAACAATGGCGAAAATCTTCTCCCATCTTTTGCCAGCTTTTGATAGCTTTTTCCCATAGTTCGTTTTTCACGCGGGATATTTGTTGCTATACACCCACAGCACCGAAACTTTGCTGAAAATTTAGTAAATATTTACTTACAATATTTGGAATATTTAACTGCAATGTTTATTGAAAGTTATATAAAGATTTAAATGTCCCAATTAAATAAATGTTCAGGAAAGTTTCGCGCTAAACATTTATTCAAGTGGGACATTTAAATCTTAACATAAATTTCAATAAACATTGCAGTTAAATAATCCAAATATTGCAAGTAAATATTAACTAAATTTTCAGCAAAGTTTCGGTACTGAGGGGGTATAGTGATAAAGAATTGGATAAATTAAATTAAATTGATTAAGGCACCTCTTTAAAATGTCATTAAGGACTGGTGATTTTTGTAAAAAATAATATAATGGAATTAAATTTAGACAAGATCCGTTGTTTAATAAATTGAAAAGATAAAGGGAAATTGTGAAAATTGGTCATTGAGTTATTGATATTCGAACAAGTGATATATTTTTATTTAAGTTATGTTAAAAATCAATTTAATTAAATTCAAGTGGTAAAATGGATTCAAGCAGAATTTTCAATATTGTTAGATTTAAAAAATTCCTATTAATTTTATTTGTTTTTATATGTATTATTACTTATGTAGAAATTATGATTCCATACTATAGATAGTTACTTGAAAATTTTTATAGTAGCTGAATATCAATTTGTTATGAGATTTTAAAAATTAAAAATAGTGAATCCAATATGACGACCTTTTTTTTTAAATTCGTTGTATTTAATTGAAATTCGTTCTTAGTTTACAGATTTTTTATCACCAGAACACAGCAAATTTTGATCATCAACATAATGGTAGTTATTTCATTATTTTCCAAGTGTCAATCCAAATTTCCTTTATTCAAATATTTTCTACGATGAAACGGAAATCTCTGAAAGAAATCGTTTACAATTTTATAATATACAAGGTACACGTTATTTTCGTTGATGAATTTGATTATAAAGCAATCCTCTAGTTGCAATTAACACAGAAAATTATAAGGTATTAAAATAAGCGTTGCAGCTTATTTTAATGCCTTTTAATTTTCTGTGAAGGCAGTTGATATAAAAGCAGAGGTTCATGAAATGGAAATTTTTTTTTGTCTTAATACTAATAGTATATTAAGGTTGTTTATGAGAAAAAAAACATTTTTTGGATCATTGCACTTGGTTTCCTTAAGTACAGTTCAAAAAAACACTGCTCGCGATAGAATGTAAAAATTAAAATTTTTTTAAAAATGTTAGGTACACATGATAAGTGTGGTTAAAATATTCAAATAAAAATTTCCTTTTTAAATAAAGTGAATAAAATAAATTAATAAATAAAATTAAATCATTTATGTTAAATTAAAAATATGGTATACACTTACTTTAAGCCTATATCAACTATACCTATCGTTTGTATAAGAAGAACAATAAAAATCAGTGACAGAAATCTTTATTTTTATGTGAAATGTCTTATTTCAACTTAAATTAAAATTAAACTTAATTTTAAAAAATCAATTTCTTTTGTTATAATTGATATACATATATATTTATTTATTTATTTGGAACATAACGGGACATGCTCTTTCGTACAAAAGTACTCCTAAATCTAAAAATTACAATACTATATTTTACTAAATCTAGGTAGCCACTTAAGAAAAGATATTTTAGTTTTCGTTTAGCAAGATATTACGTAATGATGATGTGAATCGTGTGACATTATTATCAAAGAAATTAATGTCGTTAGAAATCATGTTTGCCTCTCTGCTAAGTCTAGCAATCAATGAGTTATTACCATAATTAGTTCTGTGAAATGCCACCGAAAACAATGTATATCGCCTAGAAAACATTCTGGGCACTGATAAATTTATCATAGAGAGAAGTGAAGGACAAAAGATAGCTCCATTCATAAGTCTATACAAAAAAGCCATATCTGCAAAGTAGAACCGTGAATTTAACAATGGTATATTTAATACCGATCTAAGTTCCCTGTAATCATGTGTATGCACGTCAAAGGGGATATTGAGCAATCTCGCAGCAAATCTAAGAAATTTGTTCTGAACACGTTCAATTCTGATTATATGGAAGACGTAGAAAGGTGCCCAAATGATACATGCATATTCTATAATTGTTCTGACAAGCGTCAGGTATAAAGTCCTGATGGTTAACATGTTATGAAAAACAGAGGCACATCTCATTATAAAACCCAAGACTTTAGAGGCTTTTGAAACAGTCTCAGTAATATGATCATTAAATACTAAATTACTATTAAATACAACACCCAAATCACGCACCCTCTCTACTCTCTCCAAAATATGACCATCAATAGTGTAGTTGTTTAAATATAAATTTACACTACCTTTCGAAAAGGTTACAACAAAACTCTTTTTAATGTTTATACTTAAATGATTTTTAACACACCATTTTTGGAGTCTTTTTAAGTCTTTTTGTAACTTCAAAATATCTTTTTGAAAGGTAGACGGATGAATCACTTTATAACACTTGAGGTCGTCAGCATAAAGTAAAAACGAGGAGTGCCTGAATATTTGCTTAATATCATTCATATATAAAATGAACATTAAGGGATATAGTTATTTAATAATAATAGAATATTTACTTTTTAAATTTGAAGTAGTGAGATCTCACTGATTGAAATTTAGAGAGTAGAAAGAAAATTTCTTCCTTAATCGTGATAAATTAAAATAATATATTCTTACCATAAAACAATTG